AATTTAAATATCTATTATTCTATTGATACTTTAAGATTCAAATCTCCAATAATATTTACAGTACAAAGTACTTATAATACTGTTTTTGTAATGGATAGCTTTCCAGTTCTGTATTCTTATAATTATTCAAATTAAGTTGGATTAAATATAGAAAATATTACATAAACTTCATATCCTATATATTTATATATTAATATTGATTAGAAATATGGTCCTACCCAATTTTTATAATTGTAATTTTAATACCCTCCAATTGGCTAGACTGAAAATTGGGTTAAATATACATGTATCGGAGTTGGATCTCTATATGTGATTACTTTAATCATCATTATTGCCGTTGTTGGTCATTAAAAGAAAAAGTAACCTTCAGAAGATATGCAAGCATTAGAGTTGAATTTAAGATGAGAAATATATTTACAATAAAATATTATTTAAACTTATAAGCTCTGTTTTCATAGTTTTTCTGGATTTATTCCTAAAGCTTTACATGCCTTTTAGTAAGCCAACTCAGCAATCTCAATTTTTCTATTAGTGTTTCTTATTTTGTATACTAATTCTTCCTCTTTTCTCTTTTATAATACATAAGTCATAGCCTTTTTTCATATCAATTAAATGATACTTTTGGTATATCTTCATTTGTTGCATTATTAACTTGCTCTAATTAAATTGCAAATTTTTTCTTCTTTTCTGTCAAAGATGCAATTTATCTTTTAACCTTTTTAATTTATTCTTAAGTTTTTGCTATCTTTTTATTTTTATCGTCAATTTCTTATATCAATTTATTGCATTAATCTATTTCATTTTATAATTGATTTCTTTCTTCAATTAAAATAGATGATATCTTTCCTGTTGCTATCTTTAAACCTAATAATTTTTTATTCTTTTCATCTATTTATTTAACATATTTCTTATTTTCTATTTATAATTAATGAAAATCTATAAATTTTAAATCATCTCCCATCTCCTCTTTCTTTTAAATCTAATTACTTGTTTTTGTAATTTATTATTCAATATTAGCTTTCTTTTATTTATATTTCTCTATTTATGCATCCTTAAATTTACTCAATATTATTAATTACCTTTTAAGCTAATTTTTCCTTAAAATATTTTTCTATTCTTTCTGCTTCAATCTTCCCAGTTCTTGTATTCTCTCCAGCAAATAAAATTTCTCTCTGAAAATCAAAAGCATCTTTTCTAATCTCTGTAATTGCCTTATCAGTTTCCTCTAAAATTGCCTATTTACATTATTTTTTCTCTTACTCTCAAAGTTTCTAATATTTAATCTGATCTTATTCTTCCTTCCTCAATATTCTTTTTCAAAGTATCACTCTCAAATTAAGCAATCTCATACTTTTCTTCATTAGTCAATTACATAGTCTTTATATTAATACTAAATTCTACCTTTTTATCAATAGGCTTATCCTTTTTCTTTGTTTTTTGTTTCTTATCTTCTGCTTCCTCTTCTCTTTATAAATCTTTAGAATTTCTCATTATATATGATTCAAATAACAAATTCTCTCTTCTTATTTACTCCATATCCTTATAAAGACCTTCCAATTTTTATGATAATTCTTCAATCAAAATAAGTTCTTTTTCTTCCTCTGTTATCCCTTATTATTATTCTTATATCATTTTAATTAATATTATAATATTACAAATTAACGATGAAGAAGAATGCTCCAAATATATCAAAAGTAGCATCAGATTTGATTCTGGCATATTAATAGTTAACGAGACAACAAAAAGAAATTGTCATTTCACCTAGATATGAAAAAACTGCCTTATATTTTCCACAATCACGTACTCATATAATTATGTACATTATGCAGCTATTGAAGAGAAAATTGATGAAGAAAATTAAATTGATAGTCCAATAAAAACTATAACTGAAGAAGAAGAAGATTATCTATCGGAGATTTCTGAACTTAGAAAAATAGTAGATTAAAGTATAAAATATAATTATAAGCAGTGAGAATGAAATACATGAACATACCCTAAAAATATTTGCAATAGCCATTGTAAACCAATAATTAAAATACAATACAATCTACTCAAAATAACAAAACTAAAAAATAGGTGGTGATAACATAATACTAATCGGATTTTTTAAGACAATAATATGGAAAAATTAAATGACTGTTTATAGATCCCTTTTTGTTTTTTATTACGCAATCAAATAAAATTCTTAAAATATTGTTAATTAAATTTAATATATCTAAAAATTATTATTAAATCATCATTATTGTTTGTTACACTTTAGATTGAAAAAAATAACTAAAGAAATCTTCTTTTTAAAATAAAATTCATCTTCTCTTTCATTAATTAGTAAAATTAATATTAATTTTTAGTAATTAATTTTTTATACTATATATGTTTATGAATAATTATGAATAATTATGAATATATTATTAAGCATCTTTTTTTACTCAAATTTGTTATAATTAATTTAAACCTTTAGAATGAAATCTAAGAGCCTATTACAATGACCATATATACTCCTAATTATGAAAAGGATAATATGAATTTTGCAGTTAAATTATTTTATTTTATTGTTCAGAATTTAAAAAAATTTAGAGTATAATAAACAATTTTAATCAAAATTTTATATAAAGGGTTTTAGATGTTGTAGATTAAAATTTTTGATTTCAATTTTTAATTATTATTTTAGAAATTTATTTATAAATTTCTATACATTGGGAGAATAATATTTTAGATTTGTATTCTTAAAAATCATTTTATACAAATTGAATAGCTTTTTTATGTATTTGCTTATCATTAATCTTATTTATCCAAGCTATTATTGTGTATGGATTTATTAATGAAGAATAATTTTTATGATTTTAGTTAAAATTAATTAAAAAACTTTGCAATTTAATAATCATATTCATTATAGATACATATTTAATGACTAATTAGATCATAAAAATAGTAACTCCTTTGATATCATATCATTAACATATATCACTATCTTTTTGGATTACTATTAGATGTTGAATAATATAAATATTGTAGAATTTGTTGAAAATCAAAGGATTAATGAATTATGTCTGGCTAAAATAGATTTCCTATGTTAATTCTTTAGTATAAGGAGAAGAAAATTTTGGATTTTAGTGTTTGATTAGCTACTTATGATTTTTAATAGAAATACAATATTTTTTGTTATTCTATTAAAATGAGAATATTTTTTTGGATTTTAGTGTTTTATTAACTAAGAAGGATTTTAACAGAAATATAAATTTTTTTCTATGTTCATCATGGGAATTTTTTTTTGGATTTTAGTGTTTTATTTACTACCTATGTTAACCTATGTTAATTAATAGAAATTAATTAACTTTTATGAATGGAATATTTTTTTGGATTTTAATTAAATTTTTAATCTAAAATTGTAAATAAAAAAAGGAATAAAATTTATGATTGTTATCTTAATAAAAAGTTTTATAATTAGATGTTTATTAAAATTAGCTTATTTATATCACTATTTTTTATTCATGAAGTTTTTTTAGAAATTGTACAGATATTTATAAAAGTAAGAATATAAAATGATTCTTTTTTATTATAATAAATAAACCTCTTAATTATAAGGATTATGAGTTATAAATATGGATAACTTTGATTATTATATTTAATAATATATATAATTACTCAAATAACCAATTATCATACTTCTAATAGATATGAACAATAAAACCAAGTATAAATACATTATTTTGTGCTGAATATTTTCATTAAAATATCAAATAATTAATAAATTATATTTGCAATAATGTTTGGAATTACGAATAATGACAAATGATTTATTTATTAAAATTGTTCAAATCCTGTATTTATAAGCAAATAAAAAAATATTCTGAATTGCAATAATAAATTTAACGAATGACTGAAGACACAAACAAGAGTTAAAACAAGAACAATAATCCAACTTTCAATTTCAAGGAAGTAGCAAGCAAAGCTTGGAGATCAGGTTTATCAGGAAGTATGGCAATGGCCATTCAAGTGTGTTCTTTAATGTGGTTAAGAACAACTATGAATTACTAATATCGTTATGGAGGTACAATTGTTGGAACAATAAAACATTTATATGGAGAAGGAGGAATTTTGAGATTTTATAAAGGTAAAGAAATTTATATTAAATTAAGGTTTGGCACCAGCATTATTACAAGGACCATTGTCTAGATTTGGAGATACATTTGCTAACACTCTATTCTTAACATTAATGGATTCTTTTGAATCTACAAGAAAATTGCCAGTGATGATCAGAGCAGCTGGAGGATCAATTATGGCTGGAGTTTTTCGTATTGCATTAACTCCAGTTGACACTGTGAAAACAATTCTTTAAGTTGAAGGAAAAAATGGTTTAACAATACTGTAATCCAAAATAAAAGTCAAAGGAGTACCTGTTCTTTATCATGGTGCTTTGGCAACAGCATCAGCTACAATCGTAGGACACTATCCATGGTATTATTTTCATTAATTTTAAGGTTTGCTACTTTCAATCTCTTAAATGAAAAACTCCCTGATTATGTAGATAAAAAGAAAAAATTGGCTAGAAGAGCTTTTATAGGTTTTTGTAGTTCAGTGATATCTGATACAATCTCAAATTCTCTTAGAGTTATAAAAACAACAAAGCAAACAAGTCAAAATCCAATAACATATTAAGAAGCAGTCAACTTAGTCTTAGAAAAAGATGGTGTAAAGGGATTGTTTGGAAGAGGTTTGAAAACAAGAATTCTTACAAATGGTTTACAAGGATTACTTTTCAGCATACTTTGGAAAGGATTTGAAGATTTTCTTAATAAAAGATCATCATAATAGTGATTAGATATGTTATAATATATATATTAATTTTTATTTAATTGTAAAAATTCTAAGATAATAATGAAAAAGTTGAAAAATTATATTTTGTTATTTGAAATCACTTTATATATTGGAAAGGATTCAAAGAATTGTAATTAATTAAAATATTACTATAAATTATAAAAGATTATTAGTAATATATTACATCATTAAGGTTGCAATAAAAATTTGATTTCAAAACTGGGAAATTCGAATACTGTATATCCTTTGATTACTTATTCAATTGTAATTTTAGGATCAATAAACAATGTTTATTTTTAATGACTATTTACTTAATTTAATCTTTTCTTTTAATTTTTAAACTTATATTCATCTTGTTCTGTAAAATCAAGAACTTCATAGGATTACCAACATAATTATATCTTACCTTCTTCAAAAAAAGATTTTAATGAATCTTTTGAAGTATTTATTTTATATTAATCTAATAATTTAGAATCAAATAAATCTTGTTCTAGTATAGCATCCTAAAGTATTGTCTTCTATGATATGGGTTTTGTAACATAACTAACATTTAGATATTATAATTCTAAACACCAATGAATTTATTTATCTTTTATAGAGTAAAATGATAAATTTTGTCTATGTTTTTTCATTATTTTTGGTGCTAAAATAACATCCACATTCATCTTTCTTGCATAATGTTTTAATAATTTATATCTCATAGCATCTGGCAAAGCTGTGATTCCAACTAATTTTTTTTATATTATCTCTGTAGTTTTCATCACTTCATTAACATAATTATAATCTCTTTAAACTAAAAGTTCTGTAATTTTATTAGGTTATTTAGTTGGATCTCTAATACCATTGCAATTATAAATTTATTTATGTTTTTTGCAACAATCTAAGGAACAAGTCTTAGTTTCACATTAAGGACATTTATATTTATCAGGTTTCCCACACATCTTACATAATTCTGAAATCTCTCCATCTTCTATCATTAATTAAAATAAATTATTAATTAAGTAATAATAAATCAAAAAAGATTGAGCTTTCAATAAGTCTCTTATCTATTAAATTTATTCCTTTTTAGTTCCCTTTTAAGCTAAATCAATTCTATTTTTTCTTGTTATTATAATAATTTATTGCCCTTATGCCAATTAGGTCCTTTTTTACATATTAAAACTCCCCTTAAATGTATTTCTTTTCCTGATAATATTTTTTGTAATTATTTTTATGCATTTCTTTTATTGAATAGTTTTCTCTTGTAGGCTCTTCCTTAGAGCTTTTTATGTTTACATATCTAAACTATATTACACCTTTTAGTGAATTATCTAGTTCTTCCTGCTCTAACCAACCAAGCTGGTCCCATTTTACCCATTTTCTTATAAATTTAATAATAAATTCTTTAATAAAGAGTCTACAATTTAATAATGAATTAATGAGTGTTTCTGTCAGATATTTATAAGTAAATATAAAAATAGTACAAATATTTTTTTAATTTTTTTAATCATTCTTAAATCTATAGATTTTTATAAAAACAATATTTGAATATAATAATTGATCACTTACTTGATTCTTTTTCTTAATTCAATTTATCAAAATTGTTGTAATAATTATTTAAAATTTGTTCTGATATTTTAATTATATTATTAGAGAATATAAAATGAAATATATATATAAATATACTTAAATTATGTGGATATATTTATTTGTTTTATCTATTGTATTTTATGGATGTCTTAAAAGTAATTAAATTAATCTTTATTTTATTATTATATGTTCAATGAATATGATGATTAATTGTAATAAAATATTGATTAATTTCATTACCTATTAGTAGATACAGATTGTAAAGAGAGTGAAAAACAATAATATTTAAATTAGTGCAAATAATAAGCAGAAAAAATAAAAAAACTAATTTAATAAAGAATAAAGTTAGGAAATGAAAATTAGACAATGAGATACATGAAATAATTTTCTCAATTAAATAAGAAACTATAGGAAATGGAATATAATTATTAAGATGAAAATATTAGTTTAATTGTAGATAATAATCAAGATCGTCAATTAGAAGTTCAATTATTTGAAGAAAATGTGAATAATAGAAAATAGCGCTTATAAAGTATCCATAAGAATATGAGTAAAGTTAAAAGCATTTATGATAAAATATCTTAATTAGCCTATTAATAAGTTGATTCAATATTTTAAGTTGAATAAGATTTTACATATGCTGAAGAGAAAACATAAAAAGCATCTCAAGAGTTAACTAGAACTTAACAATCTCAAAAATCAAATGTTGGTTACAGATTAGTGATAATCTGTATCTTAGTTTTTATAGTTATAATTTTATTCATAAAATGAAGATATATACATATATTTGTAATTATAACAGTAAATAATAATTTAATATAAATATTCAAAATTGAAAATAATGAATGAAGAGAGAATGTAATTTGTTGAGTGGAAGAATGAAAAAGCTATGTTATTATAAAAAATACAAATTTAGGAAATGTATATATAGGAATCAAAAGAAAGAGAAGAAAACCTTAAAAAAATGAATGAAATTTTTATTAATACATTAAATTAACCATAAAATGAGAATATAGTTTAAAAATTCTAAAAATCATTTGAATAGAATGAAATTGAAAAACAATAATAAATAATAAATACTTTGTAAATTGAGAATAGACTATTAGAAAATAAATTATAAGAAAAAGAAATTTAAATAAAAGCAATAATCAAAAATAATGAAAAAGAAGTTGAGAAATTATAAAATAAAATAATTGAATTAGAATATATAGTAAATAACAAGGAAAATTATAATTCTCAAAATGAATTTTAATTAAATTCATAATATGAAGATGATAGAATATATATGAATCGAAAAAGAAATTAAAGTCCATCTCATCCTACAACAAGAATAAGAACAACATAATAATTATAATAATTAGCAAATAATAAATTTGAAGAATCACTTATAACAAAAGATTCTACAGAAATTAGTGGTTTTTTGAATAGGATAAATCCTAATTTAGAGAAATAAATAAAAGAAATATAAAATAAATTATACAATACAAAAAAAAAATTAACAACAACTACAGAATAAGAAAGTTCATTCATTCGATAATCAATATAAAAAATAAAACATGTAATTATTATTATATATAAATTATATTTTAGAGATCTCGTAATCATTCTATTTCTGTTAATGAAACTGGATTTTGTGATTAAAGATCAAATTGGGATGATTAAGTTGAATACAAGACAAATTAGACAAATCAAACTAATCAATCATTGATGTACAATGGTTTTAGATTTTCTTGATTAATTAATTAATATCATAATAAAATCAATTCATTATTCAAAAAATTCGTTGTTTGTATTGTTACTAATCTATTCAGCATTTTATTCATTTAAAATTAGTTTGTTTTTATTGTCTTCTTATTAACTCTTTTTAATTTCTTAATATCCCTATATTATTTAAACAAAACTATACCCTTTAACAGTTTCACAAGATTTCATTATCTAATTACAATAAAGAGTAGGAATAGTACTTATCATTTAAGGAAATCTCTCTTCAGTTGATATTTGAGTTAATTCTGTTCTGGTTGTTTAATGTTTATTGATTTTTGGAAGATGATCTTCTTCATTATCTAAGTCTAAAAAGTGTTTAAGGAACTTTTCAGTTTATAAAGCATTTTTCTTATCAACTTTATTGAATTCATAACCATATCCAAGTAAATCAAAATTTCTATTTACTGCATCTTATAATTCATTTTATCTTGCTTTCATAGCTTATTCTCTAATTATCAATCTATTACTCTATTTTGCTCCAAATCTTAAAGTTATTAATAAAATTTAATACTTAGGGTTATCAGACACTTTTTTGATAATTAAGAACTTCTCTAATTACTTTATTTTTTAATCGTATTTCATAAATTTATTATGCTCTAGACAGAAACAAAATCATCACTATATGCTTCAAAATTAATCTAATAAACAAACTATTCTGCTTTATCATCTTTGCCTAAAACATATATCAGATAAGTTTAAGCTGAAGGTATTCTATATTTACAATGTATAAGGTGAAATATTCATGGCAGCTCCTTAAAAATGTGCAAATATTTGGAAGGAGTTTAGAAGGAATGACTTCACATAAGTTTAAATACCTTATAAAACAGCTCTTTAAGTTTTTGATGCTTGTAAAGATGATATCTATTCTATGCTAAAAATTAATAGTGGAAAAGATTTTTTTGATTTATTTGATTAAGATAATGATGGGTAATATTATAGATAATCATATAGATATTTAAATGAAGATGAATAAATTCTAGTCTTTAGTATAATTAAAGAAAAAATGCAATAAGTTGCAAATTTATTATTATAAATCTAATAATATGTCCCTTTCAAATAACTGATGAAATCAATTAGAAATTTAGAAGAAAACATTTGTGAATATTAAGATGTGTTAAGAAAAAAAATATATAAGTCTGAAATTGCTACATATAAAGAAATAGGTTTGGAAAAATTAGATGATTTTTATGAGAAATATTACAATTAATTTTAAAACTTTGAATAATCAAAATAAACTAGAATGTAATTACAAACAATAAATTTAGATAAACATAAATAATATAATAATAAGAAGAAATGAATTAATTAGAAGAAAAATTATCAAAAAATACAGAATTTCTTAAAGTTAAACCAAAAAGAAAATTAAAAGATTTGCAAACATAAGAAAAATTGGTTTCTTTAGATGAAAGAGTAGAAGAAGCAATGGATTTTAGAAGAGAATTAAAAAATATGGAAAAAAAAGAATAAGAAAGAGTTGCTTCAGAATAAAAAAAACGTATTGAGCGCTAAAAAGATGAATTAGAAAGAAAACATTAAAAATAAACAGAATAACTCAAAGCCAAATTAATTGAATAAGAACATAAATTAATTATTTAACTAAAAAAAGAATATAATGTTTTATTGAAATAAATAGGATTACATAATAATGAAATAGAAAGAATATAATCATCTGCTATGTAAAGTGCTATTCGAAAAGGAGAGAAAGAAGGAGAATTAAAAAGAATGAAGGAGAGAACAAGAATTTAAAATTTTATTATAGGAGATGCTAAGAGTACTTTAATAAGTCCTAGAATATAATAATAAAATGCAACAACTTATGAAGACACTTCTAGTTCATCATATAGATAACCTTTAACATCATCTAAAAGTGAAAGAGCTATGCATGATATTAAAACTCTTATACATAAACAGAATTACACTTAATTTTATATTAAAAAGAAATATGGAGCTGTAATTATAGATACTCTTATATTAAGGATCTCCCTGTTAATTATTAGCCTGAACCTTATAAAGTATAAGGGGATAATCATGAAAGAATTGAAAAAATTTTATCTGTAAAAAAGAAAAATCCTCATGATATTTTACCATCTTTAACTGAATTGTACGACATTGATATGAAATAATAAGTATTTATTATTAAATATACTAGAATTTAGGGTATACGTAAAAGTCAGAATAAGAATTAATTTAAGAAAGACTTAAAAAAAAATAGTATATATTAGAAAAATTAGAAGAATCCACTCATTGATTTATTATTATTAATTTCTAAATTTTTTTAGATCTAAATATTTATATTATTTTTATGTTAATAGAAATTTTAATTAATTGAATATAAATTATTGAGTCTATAAAATGTTTTGTAAAAAATACAAAATAATATAATAATTATTTTAAATCATATTACTTTAAATAATTATAGTTCTACCTCTTTTTTGAATAAAAATTATCAATTAAAACTTCCAATATTCCTTTATTTGCATTTAATAATAACATTGATAAACTTCAATAGTATTAAATTGTTGTTATTATCATAAAAATATGGAGAGATTATTAGAATTCATACATAGATGCATATAATAATGGAGGATCTTATTTGATTTGAAATGATATATCATAATAAAAATGTAAATAGAAAATATAAAATTTGTGATTATTAATTATAATTTAAATGAATAGAAGTTAATAATAATATTTGAACAAATAGCAGAATTATATTTAGCTGCATGATTAAAATAGTGATTAATTATAGGAGAACTTAGAAAGACTTAGCAATTTGATGATTAAGAAACCATCTTAAGTTAAAAAAGTGTTTGTATAAATGCATGGATATTTGAGATCACCTTCTGCAAATCTAACTATGCAAACAAGGGATACTCCTGCCTCAAAACTTAAATCAATTGGATAAGTAGATTTCGAAAAGAGCAGTGATAAAATTGCTTAACAATTAAATACAAATTTGAGAAATTCTTCTCTGAATGTTACAAATCATTATTTAGAAAATTCAAATTTAAATTTTAATTAAACTCAAAAACCTAGAAATTATAATAGCTGGATAGGATTAAGTGTGATTGAAAGAAATAAAATATTTATGGAAGAAAAAGAAAAAAAATTGAAAAAATTAAAAGAACAGAAAGAAGAAAATGAAATTAGTTAATGTACTTTTGCTCCTGCTTTTTTTAATCCAATTAGAGTATAAAGAAACAAGTCATGTTAAGTTAACAAATCATATTAAGATATTCATTAATAAAAAAAACTTCATAATTCAAGATTATATTGAAAATATTTTATATTGTTTTTTATTAAATATATATACCATAAAAAAAATGTAGAAAAACTCAGCTGCATGTTTTATGCAAAAACCAGATAAATAGTTCTATTACAATTTATTAAGGTAAGAACAATTGATTCAAGCAAAGCCAGAAATTGATATTGTCAATCAAGCTGTCCAAATGTATAGGTAATATTTATGAAAAATTTATTAGAAAATGTGTTGAGTATTTTGATAGTCTATAAGACCCTATTAAATATTATTTTTTAGAGAAAATTTAAACTGCTTTAAGTGAAACTAAAACCTTGATGTTAATTATGAATACAAAAAATGATGTAGCTGAGTAATCAACAAGAAAACCTCCAAAAATTAGTTTCACAGCTGAAAAAAAACTTACTAATGAGATTGATTAAACTTAAATTAAAAAAGCAAGAGTTTAATAAGTGAATTTAATGATTAAAATTAATAATGAAGCTGAATAATAAAGTTTAGATGTAAATCAAACTATTTAATAAAGGTGTAAAATATGGTGAATAATTATGCTGACGAGAGAGAAAATTTAGAAAAAAAATTAAAGTAAGATTTAGATAGCCAATAAAATAATATTGATGCAAGATTAATGAAACGAAGAATGACGTAGAGAAATATGACTGTAAGCCATTCTATGTAATAATTAACTTGATTATCTCATTTCGAATTAAACATATGTACAAAAATTAATCATTATTGCTGTTATTATTATTATTATTATTATTATTTTCTAGCTTCTCCTTATCTTAATTTCTCCATTTATTTCTCCTTTTTCTTCATCTTTTTTGTCATTACCAATGGTTTTTAAGGTTCATTCTTAACTTCTTCTTTAATAGGACCATGATTAATTTTCTTCAATTTTGCATAAAAGAATCCATCCATATTATGTACATGAGGATATATACGTTCTAAATTTAATATATTATATTTCTTTACTTGCTAAATTCATAGAAGGATGGAATTTTTTATCATCAAATTTCAACAATCCTGGATTACCTACTTCCAAACCTGTGTCAATCAATTTTACATGACGATTATTTAAAGCATATTATAATACAACTTCATTTTCATGTACACTAACTGAACAAGTTGAATAAACTATTATTCCACCTTTTTTACAACAATCAATAGCAGATAATATTAATTCTTTTTATAAATGAGAATGTTTTAAAATATCTCTCATTTACTTTTATGCTTTAATAGATGGATCTTTTGATATTATTCCTAAACCTGTGCAAGGAGCATCTAATAATACTCTATCAAAATTTTTCATAACTTTTGGAAATTTACGACCATCATAATTTGTGACTATACAATTTGTGACTCCCATTCTTTGTAAATTATAAAATAATGCTTTTTCTCTATCTTTGCTTGTATCATTAGCAAAAATAACTCCTGAATTTTTCATTAATTATGCAATATATGTAGTCTTACCTCCTGGAGCAGCTGCCATATCGAGAATACGCTCATTCATTTATGGAGCTAAAGCTAAAACTGGAAGAAATGATGATGCACTTTAAAGCATATAATGACCAGATAAATATTCAGGTGTTGCTCCAATTGGTACTTTAGATTCATAAATAACAAGACCTACTTTAGTCCAATCTCCAACAGAGTCTAAATTTACTCCTCTTTAGACTAAGGTTTAAGCTAATTCCTTTCTTCTTGTTCTTAAGGTGTTAACTCTAATAGTTATTGGTCTTGGAGCATCATTAGCATCTAAAAATGCTACTAATTCAGCTGGTTTGAACATTGATGAAAAGTGTGACATCAAATCTGAATTATATCCATAATATGTGCATAGATGCTTTTTTAATTCATTTAGCAATTCTTCTCTGCTAAATTTACCATATTCTTTTTATTTAAGTGTTTCTATGATTTTATTTATTCTATTCATAATAGCATTTAGATCTGTTTCAAATAATTAATCATTTTACTACTCTTCCTCTTAATAAGATTCTTGATCATTTTATTCATTTTCTTATTCTTCCTCAACTTATTATTATTATATTTTTATTTTTTTTTGTTTTTTTGGTTCTTCTTTTTATTCAACTATTTCTTATTCATCTTAATTTTCTTCTTCATCTTCTTCATCTCCATTTTATTAATCATCTTCTTAATCTTATTCACCATCTTAATCATCATCATTTTCTTGTTCTTCATCAACATTATTATCATCTTCTTCATCTTATTATTCTTCAAATTGTTCATCCTCTTATTAATCTGAGTTTTATTCATTTTGTTCATCTTCAATATTAAGTTCTTCATCATCTGATTTAATCTATTTATATGAAAATAAATATACATCTTTATCATCATCACTTTTTAGTTCTATTACATCTTTTTACATTAGTTGTTTAGCATATTTTTGAGCTAATTGTAAAGTTTGTTTAGAAAATTAAGCTTTTTTATTGCTCATCACAAATTAATTATTTATTATTTATAATAATCACTTTTTTTGTTTCTAGTTTCCTAACATTTTAGCAATGAATTCTTCGGTCTCTTTTTTTTCTGAAGTATAATGAATTTTTTAGGCAACTTTAGCATATTCTGTTAATCCAGTAGCACAAATGTCTAATAGTCCATTTAAAAAATGTTTAAACATAGATTTCATTTCTTAATTCTTATCATTAACATAAGTCTAATAATTTTATGATAATGTTGAAGATGCAAAATGTTTATCTCTTTTTGCTTCATCATGAGTCCTTTCAATTTTTTATAATTTTTCATCATTTTTAGATTTTGCTATTGCTCTCTTTTCATTCCATTCATTTTCTAATGTATTTTTTAAAATATATTATTAAAGATTCTATCTAACCTATTTAATTTAATCTAAATGACCATTAAGACTAGGTATTATTCGTTTTTCTAATAATTTCAAGAAACCAAAATCAGATGGATCATCATCCTTTTTTAATTTTTAAATAACATTAAAGAATGCTTTACCAAGTTCCATATATATCTCTTTAAGCTTAAAAATCTTTTCTCTTTCTTTTTACATTTGTTCTAATGTCTTACACAATTCATTGTATACATTATATCTTTTCCTTTCAACATCAATAATAGCAGTAAAATGGCCTTTCAATTCTTTAATTGTTTATTCATCATAATCTAAATTGGCTTTGATAGTATCATGTTAAACTGAATTCATATCAAATAATTATAAATAAATTCAAATAAATGTTAAAAAATACACCCTCAAAAGTAACTCTAAATTATCAAGAGACTTAAGAAGAAACAGATCCTGAAGGATATACTCTTATTTATGAATAGGAAATAGTGTGTTAGATCGTAGTAGATGATGGAGAATAATAACAAACATAAGAAACTTTGAATGTTAGAGTATTGATATTAGGAAGTGAACAAACACTTGAGAAAATGAAAATTGAATTAAGTTGCGAAAATGATCTATTCTTTCATTTTATTCACGAGTAGAGTTAATGAATAATAATTAGAGTAAATGAAGAAACATTTCAACAGATCAAAGAAGGTTAACAATTAACAGCCTAATTTATTGATTATCCTGCTATCTGTGTTAAGTGTCTCGACAAAGCTCACAAAGACCCTAATAAGTACAGCGCTGTTTTAAGAATAACTTAAGAAGGGGATGCTGTTATTGAAATTATACAACACACCGAATACAAAAATGTCGAATTGATCTAATTCTAATTTGTCTCTTTGCCTGAAGAATCTATTCGCATGGCCATCACCAAAAAATATTAAAAAGTCAAATAAAAGCTTTAATAGATGGAAAACAAATTAAAGGATGTATAGATTTTATTTTTTATACTATTTAGATTAATGATGTTGTTAAAGTCAAAAATCCTTAACTGTTATTACAAATGCAAAGAATGAACAGATGATATAAAATAAATAAAAACTATTCATTCGATATAATTTATAATACTTTATATAAGAATGGCTGATGAACCAGATGATTTTAAGCCAGCTCTCAAAACAATTTCAGCATCCATAAATACAACTATGGCTATTTCTGAAGATGGTGATCTCTATGTTTGGGGTAAAACCTTTTTGAAGAATAAGAACGTAAAGCATTTGCCAACAAAACTTGGATTACCTAATTAATATTTATTTTATAGAGTTGTACATATCTCATAAGGTTTAAATCATGGAGCTGCCATTTTATAATCATGTTTAGATAAAGAATGTGAAGGTGTTATCACCAACTAGAAAGGTCAAGTGCAAACTATATTGGGAATGGTTGCAGATCAAGCAAAGAAGTTAAAGGAAAATTCAGAATAATAATAATAAAGTGAATATTTTTTATAACAATGGGATTAACCTTTTAAGGAGTTTTTTAAATCAAAAAACAATAAAACTATTTTATCTTTATAAGAATTTAGATAATTTTATAGATAAGATAAACATTTAAAGAACATTAGTTATTAAAATATATCAGAAGTTAAAACTATATTAGGAACTGGAGATGAAGCAAATAAAGATGAACCAAATGCATTTGAAAAATTTTTCATGATGGAAAAATCAAAAGATGGAAAAACAGAAATCAATATTTGTTATTATTATTAAATGTTAACATAAGAAAGTAGACCTGAATATATATCTATTGTATGGGGAAATCCAGCTAACGGTAGATTAGGTGCCCCAAAATCAAAATTTCCAAATGAAACTGATAAATAAACAATTTTCAATAATAACAATCCTTCCTAAATGGATTTCACAAGTCGATAAATGTAATAACCATCTAGAACATAATAAGTTTAAAATTCTTAATATAATTAAACTCAAGCAGAACCAAATAATTCAGATTTTATATAACCTATTGCATTAAAGTAGGAATTTGTAAAAATAGTTTGTGGACATCATCATACTATGGCACTCACTGAAGAAGGATCTGTATTCATTTGGGGTATGGGAAGTTAAGGATGTTTAGGAAATGGTAGAGTAGATGATCTAGAGACACCAACCTAAATTGATATCTCAGGATTATATTTTAATGAAATAGCTGCTGGAGCATATCATTCTCTGGCTCTTGCAAAAAATAATCAAGTCTATGGATGGGGTGTAAATAATCGAGGTTAATTAGGGATTGGTAATAAAGAAAATTAATTATTACCTAAACAATTAACTTTTTTTGATAGAAAGAAAGTACAATGTTAATATCTTTATTGCGGAGACTAACACTCTGCATGTATAACAACTAATAAAGAGTTATATACTTGGGGAAATGGAGACTATTATAGGCTAGGTCATGGAATGTTATTGGATGAAATGGAACCAAAAAAAATTGAAATACTTTAAGATGTTTACGTTTTAGATGTTGCTTTGGGTACGATACATTCCTTATGTATAACAAATGAAGGATTTGTTTATGCTTGGGGAAGCAGCAAGGATTCTGTATTAGGAATGCCAACTTAATAGTATAAAGATTAAACACTTCCTTAAAGAGTGGGATTAATGAGTTAAAGTTTTAGAGATGCTTCATTTTATTAGGTAGCTGCAGGTACTAGCCACTCTTTGGCTTTATCAGAAAATGGCCATCTTTATGTATGGGGTTCAAATAAAAATAGCTTGTTGGGTGTTAGATTGTAGGGATAGGAACACACATGTATTCCTTAAAAAGTTGAATAATCAGAAGATCTTGAAAAATCTTGTATTGAAAAAGCATTATTTTTTAATTTAAAAAAAGAAGAGCAATAAATGATGAAAGATGAAAAATTAGTCACATTTGAATAAACTACTTTGATGAAAACTATTTTATAACCTTCATAAGGATAGAGTCATGAATGCAAATATAAGTATGCAACTTTAGGATGTAAAAATACTTACTTTATTGATAATACAGGCCATTTATATGCCTGCGGATCTAATCAAAAAGGAATGCTATGTAAAAATCCTCATAAAAAATAAAAATTTAAATAATTTATTCCTTAAAAGGATCCTCCAGATATTTTGTATGAGTAATCATTTACACCAATTGAAATTGTTTATTTTAGAAACACAATAATCAGATATATTAGCTGTTAATACAATCATTGTATTGCTGTGACTGCTAAAGGCAATGCTTATTGTTGGGGTTCAAATCAATATAATTAATTGGGATTAGGGTTTTAAAGTGATCATGTTTTCACTCCTATTCTTTTAGAAGGAGCTATTGAATAAAAGGTTATAATAATGGCTATTACAGGAGAGAAGTTTTCAGCTCTTCTTACAGATTAAGGAGAAGTGTGGAGTTTTGGAACTTCAGAATTTGGTGTACTTGGACATGAACTCAAAAATTTTTATGTTATAATGGAACCAAGAATGATTAATGATATTCCATCTATGATTAATTTAGCTTGCAGTAATTAAACAATGTTTGCAATTGATCAAAAATAATAATTATGGGCTTGGGGAAATAATTAATTTGGATAGTTAGGTATATCATTATAAAGAGATGAAGAAGAGATTAATTTATAGACAAACAAATAAGTGAGTAGCGAATTTTTAGAGTGGAAAGCTCAGTTAAAATCCTTGAAAAATCCTGAAAGATATATTGTTTATTAACCAGATAAACCAAGTACAAGATCTATAACAGGAGAAGCCTTTGTTGATTAAGTGTCTTGTGGATTATATCACACATGTATAATAACAACAAATTAAGAATTATTAACTTGTGGCTTAGCTAAATATTCAGGTCATCAAAGCTAAGAACCAGAAGATCCTGAACAATAGTAAGCACAATAAGCTTAATTTATTGATGCTTTTTCCTCAACTCTTGAACATTCAAGTAAAAAATTTAAATTGGTTGCTTGTCACGAATATCACACTGTAGCAGTTTCAGTTTCAAATGATTTGGTATTTTTAGGTCCAGAAGGTAAAGAAAGAGGACTTCATGAAAAATTTGCCAATTTATTTAGAGATGGAAAGCAAATGCCTGAAGAATTGCAAAATATTAAATTCGTAGCATGTGGTCCTAACCACGCTTTAATCTTAAATGATTAAGGATAAACTTATACATGGGGTGCGACTATGGGTGGTAGATTAGGATTACATATAAATGAAATAGGATTATTGGATGGATAGGAGAAATTAACTATTCCTTACCCTACCAAGATAGAATGTGAAGTTTGCAAAGATAATAAATTATAAGCAAAAAATAATAAAGATAAAGATAAAAGTTCTGCACCAAAAAAAAAAGAAAAGAAGAAAAATAAAAGTTCAAAAGCAAAGAAAAAAGTTCCTGGAGGCGATTAATAATTAGATGTTTCTATAGAAGATGAAGAAATTTTAGATGAGGAAAGTTTTCACTCAGAAGAAGGACCAGGAGTAAGAGTTCAAGATCCACTGTAAAAAGGACTTAGTAAATAATCATAAGAATGTGAATAAGAAAACTTATATTTGTAAGATGCTGAAATAGAGAAAAAAGTGTAATTCATCTTTAAAGATTCTGCTATTCAAGCTTATGAATTGTAAAAAATGTATACTGAAATAGTATCAAAACTGAGTTGGAGTATCGATTATAGAGCTAGACAATTAGCTGCAAAAAATTAAAGTAGACAAATTACAAATTTAAAGTTTTCAGTTCCATAATTTATTGTAAAGAATATTTAATTGTACGAATGTATATTTTCTTGTATGTATCATCATCCTTGTTATATGATTAAATTGATTCAAGCAAATTAATTAAATAAGTTTTAATTATTGAAATTCATTAAAGTGATTTTTAAAAATGATTTAATGGAAGCTTAGAATTAAAGTATCATTTTAACTCTAGCTATAAAGTCTTTTGAAATTGAGTTCAATAATGCAACCAATTAATTAGAATATATATCAGAGCTGAAATTATTTAAGAGTTCGTCAGTCTTTTTATAAATCTACTATATGTTCATATAAAAAGATGAAGATGCTTTTAAATATTTTGATGAGGTTGCAAATCTTTTAATCAAGGGATTCGCCTTTTCTAAAATATTAGAAGAGATTCATAATTTTGAAAAAAGACCTGAAGAAGCAGAGAGTGATGATCACAAACTAAAAAATTTCTTTAATTTTCACTAAGAAAATGCTAATAGCAAAGAAATATAAGCTAAATATGATGTTTTAACAGAATTAATAATATTTTACATAAAATCAATTGTAGATAGAAAGGAGAAATGTAGAATTAAAGGAGATGAAATGATATCATCTCATATAAAATATTTGCATAATTAAATAGTTCAAATAATGAAAAAGAAAATACTTAAAGAAGAATTAGTTAAAATCACAGAGGTTGTTGAAGATGAAGCAAAAGTTTAATAGAAGTTATAAAAATTTTAAGTCAAATTAGATGAAAAGATTGGGTCATTTCTATTACACCTTTATTATGGGTCGATCACTGAATTTATTCTAAAATTTTAGGATCAAATTTAAAGTATGCCAGAAGAAATTCGACCTTTTTTACTTAATGATTAAAATCTTAGATAAATTGCTTAAACAATTGATAGATTCTTTTAAAAAGATGTTATGTTACCTAATAAATATAATTAAAATTTAAATAAGATAATATCAAGTAGGATGCTTCCAAAAATAAATTTACTTGGTATTTAAGATGTAGCATAAGATTTACAAGGATTTGTTTAATTTAGTGTTGAAAATTTAAATATGATTGAATTAATTCAAGAATGCTTTGAAATTAAAGATAGATATATGTAAGTTGAAATCTAAGATATACTATTCTTATAACATTTTTATTGTTCATAAATTTTAAATAATGGACTGTAAGCAGTATCAAAGTTTTTTGCAAGAGGAATGAAAGATCCAATTTATATAATCTTTAGACATTTAGAATTTAGAGAAATATAAGTAAATATGTTTAGTACTGAAATATTAAAGAGAAAAATAAACTTAAAATTAATGCCTACCCCTATCATGTAATTGATTCGAAAATCTAATGAAATAGGATTATATAAATGCGAAGATTGTTCAATTTTATTAACAACAGAGTATATAACAGCAGAAAAACTTAAATCGCTCCAAAATTTATTTGCTAATGGTTGGAGTTGTGCAGCTGGTCATCATAATAATATAACTGTGTTGGATTGTGAATCTCCAGGATGTAGTAATTTCATAACAGACTAAGCATTAAAAACAATGAGAGTGCTTAGATTTTATTATAGAGAAAAAGATGATAATATAGATATGCTTGTTGAAATTTTAAGTAGCATACCAACCATTCCAAAGGGGATAAATATGTATAACTTTTTAAAAGATTTATAAAAAACAAACTGGGTGAAAAGAAATTCAAGATTAACAACTAAAATTGAGCAATTTTTATCGAAAATTTTCCCAAGTGAATTAACAGATCCATTTATAAGATCAGAAACAGAAGATGCCGAATAAGCTTTATAATAAGTGACCGAGGAATAAAAAGAAGCATGGGCAGTATTAGCAGCATAAAAAAAAGTGTAAAGAGAGGAAGCTTTACATAAGTAATATAAGATAGTTTATGAGAAAGCAATAATTTAAATGAATGAAAGATCCTAACACAGAGCATTGTAAATTACATATAATGATCTAATTCGACAATTAGAATTAACAAGAAGTGAAATGAAATCAGATTTGCATAAAGAAATCAAAATGATTAAATAATACTAAGATTTTATTCAACAAAATATTAGAGTTTATGGTGAAGGAGAAGTTTAATAGCCAGAAAGGGCCAAAGGGTAAGCTTACGGATTTTATACATCAGCAAACATGTTTTAAGCCAAAGCTTTGGTCAAATTAACATTTTAAAATCGACAAATTCCAAAGATTTTGAAAAATATCAAATTCTATTTTTTTGGATAATCTGATGGTGGTTGGGACATCTAATTAGTGTATTTATAAGATTCATTATTGAATCTTTTAGTAACTTGCATAGAAGCTATATATCCAATTGAATTATCATTATATAAGATCAGCATACCTATTGATTAATATCTAGAATTAAGAAGAATGGCTAAATATCGAACTTAAATTACTTTCAAATCCAAAAATATCGAAATTACTTTTAATATAGTTTAATTAATTAGTATATTTAACTAGCTAGAAGCTAGATTAATCAAATGAATAATAAATATGAATAATTAATCATCATATCATTAATTTTTTGTTATATTTCTTTTTTAATCTTTACAGAGCTTTCTAATCTTCAAATTTATTATTTGTTAACACTAATTAAAACCCTTCAATAGTTTGGTTCAAAAATTTTTCAATTTAAACAAAAGAATTCTCATCAATTTAATTCAATGATAAATTTAATAATTACAACTTCTAATTTCTCATAATATACCAATTATTATCAAACTGTTAAATTGTTTCTAATACTGGAACTACTTCTTCAGTACCTTTCTTCTTTACTTTTTTATTCCTTTCTATTATTTAATCCCTTTCTTTTTCTTTTATTCGATAATCATCATATTCATCTTAACTCATTAAAAATTTACCAACATTTTGCATGATTTCAGATAATTAATCTAATGAGTTTATCTAATTTTTTGCTAATCCTAGCTATTCTAAAAATGTATTTTCCTTAAGAGCTGTTCCTATTAAATTAAATGCTTCTTTTGATAATTAATTATCATATAAATCTAATACTTTTAAATTTCTCATATTTTAGCATAGAATTTCAATAAAAGGTAACTCTATATAAAGAGAATTAAAATACTTATTTAGCATGATCTCAAATATAATTATTCTAATAAATGATTTGATTAAAAGAGTTATGGTTAAATTTATTACCAATCAATGTACAATTTTTTTATTTTACATTCAGCATTACTTATGAGTTAAGAAATAATTTAATATTCAGCTTAACCTAAATCATTATTGCAAAATTTTAGAGTTTGAACTCCACTCTGATATGAACAAAATTCAAGTAATTTTAATGTTATTATGTCAACTTTCACCTATATTAATCTGATTAAATACAGAATTAAAAAAAACAACCTAAGAAGTTTGATCATTTTCATATTCCTCTGGATTTTTGAACTTTTTGTTTTCATCGAAATCATTTATGTCCAAACTTTGAATAACTTTTACAAATGTTGGATGAAGAGTGATTCCGATGGATTAACACAATATCTGCATATTATCTTAAATATTGTTTTTCATCATTTATAATAATTCTGGTTTGAAGTAAGTCAAAAATTATGACACTTAATCCAAATTATCTTACTAATAGGTTTGATACTAATAGAAAGGAAAGGTGGTTTATGAAAAGATTGGTTCAAGGGGCCTTCTTTCTTCTTTTTTTGGTGGCATAAATTAATAAATAAAATATATTATGATTCAAATGGGTGTCTTCTATTAATGCACCAATTTAACAACTGGATTAATGTAGTACAATTAGAATCTCAAAGAAATAAATTCTTAAATGCAAAGTGAAACCAAAGGGTTATAAGAAAGTGTTGCAACACTTCACTAAGCATTTGAGGAAACTGTGTTCAAAATTAATTAAATATAGAATTAAGTATTTGAATTGGAGCAGCAACTCTATTCTTAAAGATCCAAAACATTGATTGAATAAAAGAAAGGGCAAGTAGCTAGTTATGTTTCAGAAAGAGAGAAGACATTGAATGATTTGAGGAATTCATTATAATAGCTCATATGAAAATAAATATTAATAGTTTTCAGATAAATATTTTATAGTTAGTTATTGCTACTTAGATATTACAATTTTCTTTTTTGAAGTGATAATTTTGGCATTTTTACTTAAAAAAAAAAAAAGGTGGAGATCTAGTTTCTATTTTATGAATAATATTTTTCCAACTATAAGCCTTATATACAAATTTGTATCAGAAATTCAAACTAAAATGTAAATATGAATAGTAATTTAAGAATTAGGAATTTTTATTTCTTACTCATAAAATAATATTCAAAGAATATAATACTTTTAATTTATGATAGATAAACATCAAATAACGAAATATGACAATTCAATGTTTTAAGATTCTTTTTGTGGGTCGAATAAATGTCTGTACATTAAAATAAACAATAAACAATGATTCAAATTGAAATTGAAATTTTCTGGTCTGATTGAGCAAGAAAGTACCGCTTTAATCTTCACAGCAAACCGAATTCAAAATTAAAAAAATAAGGATTCTGTATAAAAAAAAAAATTAGAACATACTTTTTTCATTATGAATATAAGAAACTTAAAGTAATAGAAATTAAAATAATAAAAAAAAATGAGCATATTTGCTCAGATCATGCAACCTATGTTTATATTTGTAAAGAAGACCATAATGTAGTAGGAAGCTTTGCCATTAATGTTTATATTGCTAAAGAAGATAGTTAAAAACTTTTAGAACAGTTATAAAATAATCAAGATGAATTAAAAGTGGGGAGTTAGTATTAGAGAAATAGAAAATAAATAGAAATCTTGTTTACAATGAAATTAACATTATTCATTGAATAAAGTTGGATCTTCTGAAATTTAACAGTTGATCAAACTTTAAAACGATTTTAAAAGAGAATTAATAAAACATAAAGCTTATAGAAGGATAGTATCCAAAAATAAGTAGCTTCGCATAATGATTAAGAATAAATAGTGCTTTAAACAATTGGAAAAATCAAAACTAATCAGTTTTTGAGAAGGCAAAATAAATATAACAGAGTTTAGAAGATGAATGTAAGATGTTTTAGCAGAAAATATAAAAAGAAATTAATTAGATTAAGTAAACATAAAATTGAAAAAGGGAAGTAATGTTCATCGCAATAAATAACTTATAGCAAGAAATTCATAAATAAATAAAGGAGATTAGGTAGATATCAGATTGATAAGTTCATAATATTGAAAAGGGCAATAATTCATTAGAAATCTTTCGCATTAAAAAAAAAACTTAATAAAAAAAAAATTCTAATTCAAATTAATTAAAAATAACAATTCCATGAAAATCTTTTGAATTAGTTTTCGCATCAGCTTCATAATGTTCATTTAGGTAACTTTTTCAATATTAATCATTTGAGTATATAAAAATCTGATAATCCTCGTTATTTTAATCTATAATGAAAACATAATTATTTTCAAAATGCAATTCTAATAAGAGATTAAAGAAAGTAAGTGATTCACAATTGTGCAATACAACAAAAAGAGTTATTGATAGAAATTCTCAGAAAAAAGAGATGAAAAATTAGCTAGAAATTAAATGATTGAAATGGAATTAAAAAAGGTTTTATAAAATGTACTACTTTACTTCTTGTAATTTAAAAAAAAACAGAAAAATAATCCAAAAAAATTTAAAGTAAGATTCAAATTAAAAATCAAATAATTTTATTATAAGAAATTAGACTGTTAAGCGTTAATAGTGCTAGTGAGAAAATTGTCTCATAATATCCTATAATTTTAAACAATAATATTTAAATAGTTAAAAGATAAGAAAAAAATTAAATCAATATATAGATATATGGTTAGGTAACTTATAATCACTCCACCAGAGAAATTTGTTAACATTTAATCTTCTACTCTTATCCTGAGGACTCATTTTTGCTCAATCAGAGCCTATAAGTTAATCTGTATATCGGAATGGATCATGTCTTTTTGACAAAGAAAAAATTCTTTCTGTTCTGATTTTACACTTTTAAATTCAAAGGTGACCTACAGTCTAATCTGAATCGGAAGTTAAAATTTGGCACTTATTGGGCCTTATCCGACAAATCTATTGATAATCAGAATCGCTTCTTTTTAAGCAGCAGAGGTCAATACTTATAAACCTTTCATTAGGACCTTTTTAAGAAAAGCCCTATCTTGCCAATTGAAAGCCACCTTTCTTCAACCTCTACTTTGTACTAAACACAAAGTTAATTTAATAATAATAGAATAGTAAATGATTGTAATCTTATTTATTAATTTTTCTTAATCCAAAGCTAAATTAAATTATTGAACTATTTGGTTCTGTTGTAAATTTGTGAAAAAAGTTAAAAAATCTTATTTGTACATCTGTAAGTTAGTAGTGGAGCGCCGTCCTGATTTTTTAATTGCTTTGATTGAAAATTTCTTTTAACTTTTTGGTGTTAATTAATCAGCAATACAGAAATAACTTCTCATGAATTCTTTCAGATTTCGACAATCTTATTATTATAACAATTTTAAATTTTAAATTATTAAACAAAAATTTAAGTGGCTATAAAACTATATCTTTAATTAAACTGACCCATTTTTAATTAACAACTTAGTAATATTTATTAGAGAAAGATATAAAAAATTAAAATCTTTAAATTTATATGATTTTATTTTTTCTCTGCATAATAATTACAATTATTTAAAGAGGTTATTTCTTAATCTTTTTAATTTTGTTTAACAGTTATTGATATAAACGCTTTAGAATTTTTAAGATTACCTTGCTTAATTAACTAGTCTATTATAAAAGGAAAGTAAATAAAATATTATCATAGAGATGTAAGGTTTTTAGTTTTATTTATTAACATGAATTTATTGTAATTATAACAAAGTATCAGAGTTAATAATAGTATTGCTTTATTAATTTAAATTTTTTGAATCATTTGAAGGGGATTTATTATATACCATTCTTTATTATTTATTATGTGAAATATTCATAAAATGAATTTTACATTTATAAATATGGATATCGATAATAAAAAATTCATTTGGTTTGGTTCTTCAGAAATTTGGGTAATTTCTTAACCTTTTAATTGAACTGTATATTTTACATGTTGTATAGACATTAATTAATTTCATTAAAATCATCTTGAAGGTAAAAGAGATTATACATCATCTCATTAATTTATAATGTTTATCATGGTAAGATATTGATAAGTATTTTTGAAAGTTGCTTTTTGGATGTATGTAAGAATTTACATAGAGCTTAAGTTAATCAGTATTTAAGATTATTTGATAATTGTTAGGAAAGATATAATTATTATCTCCTTTAATCTTAATCCTTTCAAAAATATCATAATATTGATGATGATTAATCTATTTTTAAGTCTTTTTAACAACTAATACTTTTAGTATAAATTGAAAAATAATAATATCAAGTTATGAAAATATTATCCAAGAATAGAGTAGAGTAATTTTTAAAATCATTTACTCTCCTATTTTATATATTTAATCATTCACTCTCCTATTTTATATGTTCTTCACTCTCTTCCAACTTAAACTACTACTATAGCTCCTTTATCTATTCCTTCTTTTATTAAACAGGGGGCTATTATTAAACAACTTCATTCTTAAATCTACAATCATATTCAACATTCTACAACGCTACATCCCCTTTTTAACAATCTAGCTTATCATTTTAATCATCTTTATCCACTTAATTATCTTCCTCATATTCAAATTTCTCCATCTAGGCTAACTTTTCATCTAACAATTTCATCGCCTCGGCACACTATTTCTCCTGTTCGGCATTCATTTTCTCATACTCTCTATGCTCATATTCCTTATCAAACCCCCTAGTTCCCATCAGGTTCGTATAAATGTACTCTCCGTCTTTTGCCACTACTACTTTTATACCATCCATCTCTATAATAACAAAGTCCATGAATTTAATACTTATATTTATATATTTTATCAATAAGTTTTTATATCACATTTTTTCGTACTATCAATCGGTAACTAATCAGAAATGAGGATTCAAGTTTCAAAATTTTTTGGTATTCCCTAGATAGGNAATTACAATTATTTAAAGAGGTTATTTCTTAATCTTTTTAATTTTGTTTAACAGTTATTGATATAAACGCTTTAGAATTTTTAAGATTACCTTGCTTAATTAACTAGTCTATTATAAAAGGAAAGTAAATAAAATATTATCATAGAGATGTAAGGTTTTTAGTTTTATTTATTAACATGAATTTATTGTAATTATAACAAAGTATCAGAGTTAATAATAGTATTGCTTTATTAATTTAAATTTTTTGAATCATTTGAAGGGGATTTATTATATACCATTCTTTATTATTTATTATGTGAAATATTCATAAAATGAATTTTACATTTATAAATATGGATATCGATAATAAAAAATTCATTTGGTTTGGTTCTTCAGAAATTTGGGTAATTTCTTAACCTTTTAATTGAACTGTATATTTTACATGTTGTATAGACATTAATTAATTTCATTAAAATCATCTTGAAGGTAAAAGAGATTATACATCATCTCATTAATTTATAATGTTTATCATGGTAAGATATTGATAAGTATTTTTGAAAGTTGCTTTTTGGATGTATGTAAGAATTTACATAGAGCTTAAGTTAATCAGTATTTAAGATTATTTGATAATTGTTAGGAAAGATATAATTATTATCTCCTTTAATCTTAATCCTTTCAAAAATATCATAATATTGATGATGATTAATCTATTTTTAAGTCTTTTTAACAACTAATACTTTTAGTATAAATTGAAAAATAATAATATCAAGTTATGAAAATATTATCCAAGAATAGAGTAGAGTAATTTTTAAAATCATTTACTCTCCTATTTTATATATTTAATCATTCACTCTCCTATTTTATATGTTCTTCACTCTCTTCCAACTTAAACTACTACTATAGCTCCTTTATCTATTCCTTCTTTTATTAAACAGGGGGCTATTATTAAACAACTTCATTCTTAAATCTACAATCATATTCAACATTCTACAACGCTACATCCCCTTTTTAACAATCTAGCTTATCATTTTAATCATCTTTATCCACTTAATTATCTTCCTCATATTCAAATTTCTCCATCTAGGCTAACTTTTCATCTAACAATTTCATCGCCTCGGCACACTATTTCTCCTGTTCGGCATTCATTTTCTCATACTCTCTATGCTCATATTCCTTATCAAACCCCCTAGTTCCCATCAGGTTCGTATAAATGTACTCTCCGTCTTTTGCCACTACTACTTTTATACCATCCATCTCTATAATAACAAAGTCCATGAATTTAATACTTATATTTATATATTTTATCAATAAGTTTTTATATCACATTTTTTCGTACTATCAATCGGTAACTAATCAGAAATGAGGATTCAAGTTTCAAAATTTTTTGGTATTCCCTAGATAGGTTTCCATAATCGTTTGCAATATACACTCTAAAAATTAATTTAACTTTTATTTCTGATGATGTTATAATTGGGGTCATCCAAGGAGCTTCCTTCTTCGATCCATCAGTTGGGAACGAGTGCTGACCATGACAACTAAGGATATCAGAATAAAATAAAGAGGGTAATATTTAAGGACTCATAACATGAACACCCCTCAAAGGGGTTGGGGTTTGGGGTTTGGGTTTGGGNGCATATTAATAGATTTTATCTGTAATTTATTCCATTTTATCTGTCTCTTTCAATCCATATAAAGTACACATCTCCACAAATTCAGGTTCAGCATATAAGCAATTTGTATATTCTTCTGGGAGTGCCTAAATAATTTTTAATCTCAAATACATTAAAATAGTCATCAACTTCTTTTTTTAATCCTAATAATTAAGATAAACTTGCTTTATCAGCTTTTTAAAGCATATAACCAACAAAATTAAAAAGATCAATCTAAATTTCATCATCTCCACAATTAGAAACATTTTATGGTTCAGGTAAATTATTATAATTATAAGCTCCTGTTAATGCCTCTTGATTAAATTGACGTTCAGCAGGTGTGTATATGCATGATGTAATTACAAAGGTGATGAATAATATAGCAATTAATTTCATTTTAAATATATTTTATATTATAAAGGATCTTTCAAAATAGAGAAATATTTTTAATTTCAAACCAATAATTTTATAATCTGCCAATAATACTATTACTATGTATTAAATATAAGTAGTCTTTTAAAAGTATTTAAATAATTATTTATTGTACTTATTTATTATTTTATACATATTCTAATCATATAATATTGATTATTGAATTAAATAAAATGTATAAAATCTCAAAAAAATGATTGTAATTTATTTCCTCCTGGTATTTTATCCATGATTTCCTTTGCTTTTTTTACCTTCTCATCAACGTCTGAAACTGTTTTACTTACTTTAGACATGTTTTCATTAATCTAATATTTATTAATAGATATTACATTTTTTGTTGTTGACTCTAAAGTACTTGACAAAGCTATCATCTTTTCAACTTGAGGAGCAATTTTAGATAGTGCATCCATATCTTCTCGCAATTATCTTATGCTATCTCCTAATTATTGTACCCTTTGAATATCGTTTCCCATTATTTAATTTATTATTAATTTTATTTTTATATATATTTTATTTATTTTTATTTCAGATACCAAAATAAAATAAATCATCAGAGAAATGTTGTTTCAAAGATTTCTAATACATAATATATTAAAGTAGTTTTATTGAGCATTCTTCAATTATCTTAGCGAACATAAATGATAGAATATTGAATTCATTAAAATTACAAATCATTCTTATAAACACACTCTTTTATTAAAATTAAATAACAACCTCAACTTTATTCAATTGTTTTACATGCTTTACAATATTTAAATTTAATTATGAATCAACAATCAAAAGTGTCAAAAATAGAAAAGACAAACGAATTTAATTTATGTCAAATTGATAAATAATCAAGTTGAAATTCATTGAAATTATTAATATCAGTCGATTAAATATATTAAGTTCATTTACTTGATTAAATTCTACTTTAAGCTCATGATTCTTTTCATAGTTTAAAAAAAAAACTTATTATTAATTTTAATATATCTTGTTAACTAAATATAATTATTAGAATTTTGATTGTATAATAGAATTAATTCAGCCATGAAATCTCAGAGTATCTGTTAATAGAAATTACTAATCCATAAATTATCACTATGCTAAAATACATTCAATCTTTAATATTTACAAAGGAAATTTATACTTCAAAAAGTCTCTTGACATATTTATTTTAAAATATTGGTTTCATTTTTAACTACTTCTTAAGAATTAATTGTAATCTAAATTCTCTACTTTTTTGATTAATACATTATTGCTTAGAAATTAATAAAATTTTCAATGAAATAGTATAAAAAAATTGTCATAATCAATTTAGGAAAGGTTCTCTTGAATATAATAATAATTGTTTATCATTTCCTTAAATAAGTAATATATACTATTTTTAAGAATTTCTTATAACTATTTTGAATCAATTTTTATGATACAATTTCAAAAGTATTGTTTGTCATTTCAGAAAAATTATATTAATATTCGATAACAAAATATATTAAGAAGGTAGCTTATTAAATACGAAATTATTATCATAAGTTTTATAATCAAATTAAAACTTGAAAATAAGAAATTTACAGATTCTAAAAAAAGAAACAAACAAATTTGCAATTTAAAGATGAATTTTCTTGTTAAAATAACAAATATATCATTTTAAATAATTATAATCAGCTAGTATCAATTTCAAAATATACAACAGAATGATATAAAAATAGCAATCTAATCAAACTTATTGATTTTATATATTTATCATTAATTTTCATTAAAATGTAAATGAACCAGCTAAAGCTTGTATATTATTTGGTTAATCTTTGAATTCATTGATTTTGTTTAAGATATCAATTTTTTTATAAATTTTCAAGAATGTTTTATAGGTACCAATATGCTCAGCCACAGTGATCATTTATTAAAATCCATATTTACTACATTCTTAAATTGATAAAAAGCAACATGATAATGCTAATTATTGATTAAAATAATCAGATTTTGTGGCCAAATGACTCATATATGCAATTTATTTCTGCTTAATATCCTTCTTATCAGCATACTTGCCTAATAGTATATCATTCATGTTAATAATTTCTTGCATTTTCTAAGTTGGAAATACTTCCTATTTATCCTCTTTAGTATCATTAAATCCTAAATCATAAGTAAAGCATGCAGAAACTAACATATCATTTTTAAATGCTCCAAAGGAAAGTTTTTCTTGAATTATTTAATCACTAAAAAATTTAGTTGAAATTCTTACAAAAGATCTTGTGTAAAACAACTTTTAATGTCCTGTTCGGTGATTTATAAAATCTGAAATGCAGGATTGTAGTTAAGAAATTAATTGATCATTAGAGGTAGTAGTTATGGCACATCTTTACATTCAAGCCTACGAAATGTGAAATGCTACTCTTCCTTTAACTTTATTAGAGGAGATAGATCATTGATATTAGATATATTCATTATATAATAATCTCACCAAATATTAATTAAAATTTGATATAAATAAATCAATTGAATATAAAAAAGAATAAAAACATGTATTTTAAGTTGTTTTATAAATATTATAATTTGAAATCCTATTCAATTGAAAAAAAATTAAATTGATGTTTTAACATTGAATAGAATTATATACTATTAATTGATTCTTACTAATGTGATTTTTTAAATTGATGATTCTAAAATTCAATAACAATTTTCAATTATCTTTTTGTTTTCTACTTTTAATCTTGTGATATCTGGTATCAAAAAGATTAAAATACTATCAAAATATCACATAAAATTTTATTATTATTTTATATGAGTCTTAATAATGATTTTTTCTTTATACTATAATTGCTAAATTAAAAGCTAAAGAGATTATATTTATATATTATTTGTCTTCTAGATATTATGGTCAATAGAATAATACCAAAAAATAGATGTATCCAATTTTAATTGAGAGTAACAAAGTTTAATGAAATAAAGTCTTCTAAAATAAAAATTAAATAAGTTCCTATAATGAATAATAACTTATATCACAAGAATGAGCAAAAATATATCATATAGTTTTAAAATTCGATAAAAATTATTTATAAATAAAAGTATATGATAGTAAAATTTTACTTAAAAAAAAGACATGTATAGGATTCAATCTAATATGTATTAATATTTTATCGACTATTGATTTTATAATATCTAGAATCAGTATACATGTACTATGGCCATTTAAGCTTAACTCCACAATAACCTTTTTTCATTAAAATTTTTTAAATTATAATATAATTAGAGAACTTATTTTAAATAATAATTAGTAAATGCTGATCGAGTTGGGTAACTTATATTGATTTAAAATTCTAATTTTTTTACAAATTCCTAATTTAATATCTGAATAATATTAATTATTAAAAAGTATCAACGTGAATTGTGTATATTTCTGTGAAACAATTTATAGAAAGTTTTCACATTAATTCAAATATTCTAAACACATTTATGAATAACCATAATTATATTACTTAATTAATTTCTAAAATTGAATAAGTAATAACAAGAACACACCCATTTTAACCTGATGAACATTAATTATAGATATTAATAATAAATTGATTTTTAATTAAAACTGATTACTTTCAAATTTAATGAATAACTATTATAATACAAGAAATTAAACAAAGATACTTTGCAATTCATATATTTAAATTTCTAAATTTATTAACAAGCATCTATAGATATTAATATAATATATTCACATGATTTGGCTAGTATTACTAACACCCAAAATGAAACATATGTCCTAATACACTCTAAGCTTTTCTATTTTAATCAATCTGATAATTTAACATTATATATGCCTACATCCTATGGCATAAACAGAAATAAGCTAATCATTTTTCACTCCATTTAGCTCAGATGATGGTTACTATTTTTATGGTATTTTTAGATTGGAAGGTGATTTTAGCCTTCTCTTCGAATTATATAACTAATTGTGGAAGTTCAATCATTTTAGGAGGACTGGGCATTTTTGATTATTAAACAACAATCACAAAGACCTTTATTCTACCTCCTCACTATAAATTGAAGTTCGAATTCAAATTCTGGAGGTACCTTTTCTTATATGTAGATTGACACAATGGACAGGATCGTTTTACGAATTCTATATTGATGGGTTCAAAGCTTATGATGACAATCCAAATACATCTACAGGTACTGAAATATGTGGTAGTGGAACTGTTGGAGAAGTTTATCAAATTAGTAGAGTAATGGATCATGATGGCAACAGTGCTATAGCTACATTAATTTCTTATTAGTTTAGTGCATCATGGGGGATTTCTGATTTCAAGATTTACGTGTACAAATGTCCAGAAGGATGCGATGTCTGCGATTTAACTGGAAACTGCTAGAATTGGAACAGAGTGCTGGCATATTTTAAAACAATTTTTTTCTCTGATGGATAAGGATGGGAAAAAGATAATTTTTACTTTAGTGGTTCTCATTTATGTGGAAGTATTTAAGTATGATAATTAGGTTTTTACTTTTATGGCAAATTTTTAATGACTGAAATGATTTCAATCGAATTAAATTTACCAGATCCACACACAAAGTATAAATTTCAATTTAAATTTTTATGTGGATTTGTTACTAGTTCTATTTCATTAAAGGTATAAACGAATAATGTAGTACAAATGAATACAGCAGTTCCTTTAAATATAGTCACAACCTAAAATATCATTTGCGGGTCATATTTCAAATTAGATAAAATTGTTTTAGGAGAATTTTATAGTACAGAATCAATATTGACTATTACTATTGAAATTTCAGCATTTAATACAGGTTCTGCTGCTACTCCATTTTATGGTATTAGAGATTTTGAACTATTTACAGATGCAGAAAAAAAACAGGTATTAGATGGAAGTATTATTTGCAATGATGGGAATATATATGCTTTTGATGGTTGTTTTTCTTCAATATATGATTGTCATGAAGGTTGCAATAATTGTGTCAAGGGTCTATGCACTAAATGTTTGACACCTTGGATATTAAATACAATATCTGGATAGTGTTTGCCTAATTGTGGAGATTAAATTGTTGTGCCTTAAGAAGAGTGTGATGACGGAAACTAGATCCCTTATGATGGTTGTTATGAGTGTAAGTTTTCATGCCCTTTAAATTGTATTTCATGTTAATTTGGTTAATGTTTGCTTTGTAATTCATAATATTATTTAATTAATAATCAATGTGAATTTACTTGCTATAATGAAAATAATGAAAGTATATATGAGTATTCTGTCTAAAAATAGGAAGGAAATTATTGTTAAATTTTTAATTTTTTGTCTAATTTGTATAATTAAAATGTAGTAATAAATACAGATATTGATATTATATCTTAATATGATACAAATTAATGTACAATTGATAATTATGGAATTTTTGCATATTAATATAATATGTGCTATTTTGAGATGTCCTAAAATTGTAAAGTTTCCTTTTTGAATATATGTTAGATTTGTTAGGAAAATTTTTAACTAAATAATAATAATTTATGTATTCCAGAATGTGGAAATGGTATAGTCTAAGAATATGAATTTTGCGATGATGCTAATATTGTATAATTTGATGGATGCTATTAATGTCAAAGTAGTTGCCAATTAGAATGTTTGTAATGCAGTTATTCTTAATGTTTTTAATGCATTGAAGGATGGAATTTAATTGATTTTAAATGTGTCTCCACCTGTGGGGATGGTCTAATTGCTTTGCTTTAATAAGAATAATGTGATGATTAAAATGATGAGAGCAATGATGGATGTTTTGAATGCAAATTAGAATGTGGTTAGAATTGCTAATTTTGTAATAACAAATTGGATTGTGTATAATGTGAAAAGTATTTTGAAATTAAAAATTATATATGTGTTCCTATTTGTGGAGATGGAATAGTGGTAGAANCAATTCATAATATGATTTAATTAATAATCAATGTGAATTTACTTGCTATAATGAAAATAATGAAAGTATATATGAGTATTCTGTCTAAAAATAGGAAGGAATTATTGTTAAATTTTTAATTTTTTGTCTAATTTGTATAATTAAAATGTAGTAATAAATACAGATATTGATATTATATCTTAATATGATACAAATTAATGTACAATTGATAATTATGGAATTTTTGCATATTAATATAATATGTGCTATTTTGAGACATCCTAAAATTGTAAAGTTTCCTTTTTGAATATATGTTAGATTTTTTAGGACAATTTTTAACTAAATAATAATAATTTATGTATTCCAGAATGTGGAAATGGTATAGTCTAAGAATATGAATTTTGTGATGATGATAATATTGTATAATTTGATGGATGCTATTAATGTCAAAGTAGTTGCCAATTAGAATGTTTGTAATGCAGTTATTCTTAATGTTTTTAATGTATTGAAGGATGGAATTTAATTGATTTTAAATGTGTCTCCACATGTGGGGATGGTCTAATTGCTTTGCTTTAATAAGAATAATGTGATGATTAAAATGATGAGAGCAATGATGGATGTTTTGAATGCAAATTAGAATGTGGTTAGAATTGCTAATTTTGTAATCACAAATTGGATTGTGTATAATGTGAAAAGTATTTTGAAATTAAAAATTATATATGTGTTCCTATTTGTGGAGATGGAATAGTGGTAGAAGGATTTGAATAATGTGATGACGGAAATAACATTCAATATGATGGTTGTTATGAATGTTAATTTTCCTGCAAAGATGAATGTTAAATTTGCAATAAAGATAAATGTTTAGATAATAACTAGACTATTTTATGTGAAATAGGATATTATTTAATTGATAATTAATGTCATTCAATTTGTGGAGATTCAATAATTACATCAAATGAATAATGTGATGATGCTAATGAAATACCTTTTGATGGATGCTATTAATGTTAATTTTCTTGTTCATAATAGTGCTTAGATTGTATACTTGATTATGAAATTCAGAATAATATTTGTATAGATGTTTGTGGCAATGGTTCTAAATCAGAATAAGAAGAATGCGATGATAATTATTAAGTATCTCAAGATGGATGTTCTGATAAATGTGAAATTGAAATTAATTGGTAATGCACACAAATAAATTATAAGACTAGTTAATGTCTTTAAATGAAACCTCCTAAACTTAATTTAATATATTTAAATTAAACTAATGACTCATAATTCATTTAATTTTAAATTACAAGCAAAGTCAAATTACAAAATTCTGAATAAAATTTCACAGATAATTTGAAATTTTCCTTAATTGATATGAATCCTTAAGATTATATTATTTATGAGTATGTATTAGTAGAGCCTAATGATACAACTTTAAAAGATATCAATTACTTATTTTAAATTTAATTGTTAAAGTAAGAAACATCTGAAATTTACTTTTAAGTATAATTTGATGCATTATTAATTGATGAATATGGGTTTTAGGTTGAAAATTAATTTTTTAAATTGCATTTGAAGAATACCATAGTTTTAAGTGAATCTCAAAGAATAATTTCTAATAAGATATGTACTTTAAATATATATATACTTATTGGCCTCGGCCTATCTAGTTTTATTATTTTATTATCTGGTAATCCTGGAGATTGCTTTGAAGTTTTGGATACTATGTAGTATTAATCTAATCTAAAATATATTAATTCAAATTTTCCAGAAAATGTCATGATTTATTTTGAATCTTCCTAAGTAGTAACCGTAATTCCTATTTTAGAAAAACTAAAAATACTAGATCTACTTGATACAACTATTGGATCAGAATAAATAAAATCATTTGGAAAATTTCTTTTATATGATGTAAATTCAGATTTAATCACTAATTTATCGGGTTTGATAGTACAAATAGGGTTAACATTAGTTTTCCTCGTTACATCAAAAATCTATTTATTTCTCTTTTTTAAAAAATACTATAATAAATTCAGGATTTTCATTTACAAAAATAGTAAATTTTTTTTATCATCAAAGGTCATCTAATTCATACATAAATTGAATAAATTAGGGATGACTATTAATTAAATATTATCATTTAAAGGCCTAGTATATGTTATATAAGCAAATAGTTGGGATCTTCTTTTTAAGACTTTAATATATCTCTACTCAAAAAAAGAAAATAATCTGAGAAATTATATCTAAAATATACTTGCGTATTCTTTTATAACTTGTATTTTAATATTAATCTCTTAAATTTTCTCATAAAAAGATTCGTAAATTGATATTATGAAAAGGAAGAGCCTTAAGCATGAAGGGGTGATTGTTGCTAAAAAGTTATTATTTCTTATAGTATTAATTGGATCTCAAGAAAGCTCTTTAACACAGTCATTTTTAATTTCATTGATCAATTCGTTTTATTTAATAATTATTATTCTTGGCAGGATGGTCAGTAAAAAAATTGATTTAATTTTAATACTAATGTTTGAAATACCTGTTATTTTATTTACTCTACTTAATATAGTTTATGAAGAAACTTTTGCACATTTCTTGAGCTTGGAAACTCAAGTAATGATTGGATTTGGATAAATTGGACTGCTATTATTTGGAATAATGGCACCATTAATAAAATATGGATTTCAAATTTATATTAAATTAAAATAATTTATTTAAAATTGGAAATAATAAAAAATTAAGGAAACACAACCTACTTTTTAATCTCTATTTATTTGAATATAATATATACAGGCATAAAAACACAATAAGTGAGATATATGTAATTATAATGATAATTAAATTATATTATTTATTTTCTTCCTAAAATAAACTTTATGAAATTTTCAATAAAATTAATTTTAACTGAATTTAAGCATTAATGAATTAGCAATAAATATAAAGAGAATATAATCTATTTAAAATATGAATTTAATTCCCCTTTCATAGCTGAATGAAGTATAATTATAGCTTTTTGTGTTCAAAATTGTGATTGAAAAATATGTATTTTTTTTTCTTAAATATTTAGTTTAATATAAATTTAATAAAGATTGTATATTGATGATATATACTCATCTTATAATTAATAGCAAAATCTGTTCGAATATAAAGAATATAATGAATTTGTTTTAAATAAAATAAAAATATATAAAAAAAGAGAATTTATTTAATAGTAATCTTCGTTAATACATAATCCACCATTTATAAATCCCAATCTAAAAGACGAAACTATAAAACCTAAATGTATATGATAGGTCATAGTCAGAATATGGAATGAAAGCATTGAATATATAGCAAATATGTTTGAAATAGGGAGGTTGTTGTATTATTACATAAGTTAAATAAAATCCAATAGTGATCATAAGATTTGGATTTACAGATTAATAATTTGATTCTATAACATAATTAGTGCAGTAGAAAAATAGTAAGTAAACCTTGTCTAAAAAATTACATATAATATGAATTCATTATAATTTAGTAAAATTTCTTAATCATAGTTTAAGCAACCAACTCTATGCCATTTACGACTAGTTCTCTATGCTCTTTAAATAGATGATACTTAAGTACTGAAAGTGAATTTACTTTTTAAAATTCAATATCTCAACCTAATAAAAATAGTGTAATGCTCTTAAAAAATAACAACAAATAGACCAAATTATGAGTCTGATGCTGGAATTCTTCAGCTTCAAATGCAGCTAATTATTCTTAGTACTCAGATAAGAATAATTATGAATCCCAATGCAGTAATTATAACCCAACATGTAGGTCTACTAAAGCTAGACTTTAAGAATAGTAAAAAAAGATTTATGTAAAAATTACCAATCTTAGATTAAAATAAAGATTCTTTAAATTCTAAATATATATATGAATATCTATTTGAATTTATTTCATAGATCAATTTGTAACTTAATATGGATCAGTGAATGGTGAGACAGGGCTAAATTTAGCAGGTACAATTCTAAGAATAATGGTGAACTTTAGTATTTCATCTTTAACAATAATAGAGAAAATTTGATGTAATATTGATATCATAATAATTAATATAAATCTAAAGGGTCGTACTGAATGTTAAGTAAATAATTTTGAATTCATATATTATGTCGGCTCATGATAATTCTTTTTTATGGTGAGAAAGAGATTGCACTATAAAATAATTGATAAAAATAAGTAATTTAAAACAAAAAATAATTACTTTAGAATTAAAATAGACTTAAGTAAAAAAAGAAACTTTTGGGTAAGCTTAACTAAAACAGTATGTAGAATACCTTAAATTGATCTTTTTAACAATCTATAAATTTTTAATTAATTATCTTTTGAGTGCTATTATTATAATGATCACCTTAATAATTATAAAAATTAAATTATTTTTATTTTTAAAATTGAAATTTAAATAATATTGAATTTTATATAAAACAAAACTTCTTTTTTTTTTAAATATAGTTTTAGAATTGATTTAATGATTATGGTATTTTATAAAAAAATAAAAATTCCTTTTCAATAACATATAATTTGCAATTTTGATTATGCGTGTAAATATGGGAAAATTTATTTTATGATTAGGATCACCACAATCTCACAAAAAAACAATTGTAGACCACTAGTATTTCCTGATGCTAATCTAATAGTTCCAAATTCTCCCCAAGATATTCCAAATGATGCTTGAACTCTCCAATTATCAAATCCATCTTAACCAATAACTAATGAAAAGTAATTTGCTTTTTTATATATAAAACTACAAACAAATAATACTCCAGAATTATAAGATTACCAATAACTAGCATCAACTATTACTTATAAAGAATGTTCTCGTAATGAATACTAAAAACACAAATTTACACCGTCATGCTTAATGCTCGATATAATCCTCCATGATGCAAATCATGAGTATTTACACCAGCTATCG